TTCCGTAGCAGGTACCTTGACAGGCCTCCGCAGCAGGTACCTTGACAGCGCTGCTACTGTGCACTGGTCTGTGTTGACACAGGGGGGCCACTAGTCTGTTGGTTCGAGGTGCACTTGTGGGCTCAGGTCACTGGGCCCTAGCCACTCCTGCTGCCTCCTCCCAGAAAAAACCAGGGATCTTTCAAAATGGCAGGGCCTCCTGGCCGCACAGGGAGAAGCATCCTGATGAGCCGCTAATCCTGGTAGCCAGCTGCTCCCTGTCCACAGCACAGGAACCCTCTGCCCACCTTTTAGCACTGCTCAAAGTTGTTCGTCCACACTCACGTCCACTGACACTCTCTTGCACACTTGCTCACACTCTCACTCACTCTTGCTCTGGTCTTGCCCGCTGCCATCTTTTTCTACCTCCTATTCTTTGTTTGGAAGTCTTGTTACATGAAAAAAGTGTTCTTAGAATAAATCCTATTACTCTCCATTTCTATACTTACATGATTAATTTCCAGAAATAGAGCTGTCGACACTACATAAGAAAATAATTTCAGTGCTTGTTGGATCAGAAGTGTGTCCGCATTAAAAAAATGATGATATAAAATAGTTCAAAAGCAATATTTATTTTTCAGTGTATCCTCACCACACTCAGAGAAGTCACTGATGTTAAGTCAGTAAGAACCTTAGTAATAAACAGAATTTGAGAGCTCACTTATATTATTTAAATAGATGGAGACGATACAAACATGTGAAGCTACAAAGGCAGCAGCCACTTCTTCAGGTGGCTCAGAGGTGGGGCTGTGAGGTTTATTGCCACAGGAAGGGAGGGGGTAAGAACTCCCATCAACAAAGAGGCCGGGGTAGACTGGTTTTGAGCCCTACACTTTCTTTTTCAATCTACTTAGTTGAGAGATTTGTTCTGAAAACTACACTTTGTGTAGAGAGAATGGGGTAACTTAATTCCAGATCATCCTCATTGGTTAGCATATCAAGGGCCAGAACAGGAAGCCTGTTCACAGTTGTACATCAGGGAAGTCCCAGAAAGTCAGGAAGAAGGTGGTTGACCTTTTGCTTTGGTTCGAGGTGCACTTGTGGGCTCAGGTCACTGGGCCCTAGCTGCTCCTGCTGCCTCCTCCTTTTGTCTGGTTACCAGGGACACCAGAGCATTCTGGAGTCCAAGAGACAGGTGCTGTGTTAGATGAGTAGAAGGAAAGCTAAGCACAGAAGGACTCTTGCTATATGTCTCGTGTGGTTTCCTAGAAGAACACTTCTCAGCTAGGTGTCCTGGAGCAACCCAGGATTGCCAAGAGGACAGACAGAGAGAGGGCCTTCGTTAGCTTCTCTGAGTGACCCTGTGTGGCATGAAAGGAAGGACCTGGAAGAGCCCTTGGGTGGTAAAAGAGTAGTAGAGACTCCGTCTGGGAAGCTTGCTAGAGTGGGTCATCGGTGCCACGGCAAAAATAACTCTGTGGTCAAGGGCTACCGGGGATGAACGGCCAATCTGCAGGGACTCTGCAGTGTCAGGTGCTGAGGCAGCAGGTAGGGCCTCCTTCGAGCAGATCACGCAGTGATGCTGGAATGGAAAGCCAGCACAGCCCGGAGCCCGAGGCAGCACCAGGAGAACAGAAGGGCCGAACATGGCCCCTTGTCACTCTCTGAGATCCCTACCCCCACCCCTCCACGACAAGGCCACTGCAAGCTGACCACCCCTCAACTCATGTGCCATCTCAAGGAAGAACAGGAGATGAAGAAAATATACAAAAGAGATTTCATTTTGGAATAGACCAAGTTACCTGAGAAACACTCATTATTTATGTTATTGGATAGGTTTTAATTGATCAGATTGGACTAAACACAGTTTCTCACCTCTTATCCAGAGAGTAGGACCTTTGAAGGAGACTAAATCAGCTGCAGGAAAACAAAGAGGCTTTGCTTTGTACTGAGTGTAGGATGCAGATTTACAACACTTCTGAGTGATCAACAAATAACCCCCAAGACCACTGATAGTCTCTCATCCTCACCTGTTCCTCTTCCTGTGGACCTTCTTCCAACCTTCCCCAAATTGCCAGGGCCCTTTGATCCCACCATTTCCTCTCCTCTGCAGTCTTCGCTTTCAGAGGCCCACTTGTCAGCCCTGTAATCTTTCTTTTTTATTCAGCAACGGTCACCCCAGTGCAGACCAATCTGATTGCATTTTAGCTGGGGTGCTAGACCTAAAACCTGCAGACAACGTGCTGTGTTAAGAACTATACCTTCACATGCTATACAGGGGCGGGAGCGGAGAAGGGGGGTGGGGTGTTTCAGGGCAGAAGCTGGAGCAACTGACTCTGGAGCACTTGGGGGCTCAGGGCAATGACTACTGTCCAACCACTGTGGAAGAATTTCAGTATTTTAAAAATCAGCTCAGCTAGATTGGTGTGTACTAACTGGATATCAGAAGTTTCTATATCTTCTCTCCCTCTTCCAGTCAGAGCCCAAACTCCCCAGAAGCCACTGTTTCTCTTACTCCCCCCACATCAAGGTTCCTAACCTGCCAACCTCCCTCCTTCCCTCCCTTCCTCCCTCCCTCCCCCCCCCCCTATAGGGTCAGCCCCCTCTTGTAGCAGGAGCTAGTGGAGGGGAGTAAGAGAAGTAACAACTGCAGTGGGGACTGGGAAACTCATCCAGGAATGGATCAGGAGAAACTGTGTCATTCATGGACCCCACTGGTACTCTAAGCGCATTTCCAGAAGAACACAATGACAAATGGTAGATCCATGCTAAAATGAGGACTGCTGTTGTGACCCGTCCCGCAGGTCGAGCAACGAGGACTCTAGAGGGGGAGTGAGGATGAGGAGGGACAAGAGACACGAGAAATGGAGACAAGACAGGGCTCTGATCAAGTCTCGTTTATTCCGGGGAAATTCACACAATATATAGGGCAAGAAGCACATTTTGCCAAGCACCAAGCTTGCCCGAAGCAATTCCAGGAAATACTACAAAAGGAACAAAAGGTCAGCAAAGACTGGCTTGTTGAGTAAATGGTTACTTAAAGAAATGCAGAATGCAGAGATATCCTGCCTTGGGGCAGGAGATGGCAGAGCAGATTTTAACAAAATGGATGCCATGCAGTCTCCCACACTGTTGCACTGTTAGATGGGGTCATATGGGCTGGCAGGAACCTAATTACCCTTTAGGATGCTGCTCGTATGAAAACAATGTTACAAGTTCCCGTTGAGCCATATATAAATAAGCCTTTCAGACACAAGCTCTTCTAATGTGAGGGCTGTCGGAGTGATGAGATCTCTATGTGTTTATTGTTTATTAGCAGAAACTTCAAAAAATACATATAATACAACGAAAGAGACAATTCAGTAAAGAAATTAAGGTAAAGGGAAACTAATGTTAGAAAACACAAGCTGAAGCCATAGATCGTTTCTAGTTTTATTGTTTTGTTTAAAATTTTTTTTTTCTTTATTAGAGGAAGGGAGAGGGGGAGAGAGAGAGAAATCTCGATGAGAGAGAACATGGGATTGGCCACTTCCTGTATGTCCCCCATTGGGGAATTACCCCACAACTTGGGCACGTGCCCTGACCTGGAATAGAGCCAGCGACCTCCTGGTGCATGGGTCGATGCTCAGTCACTGAACCACACCGGCCGGGCAATAGTCTCTAGTTTTTAAATACATGCATAAAGGTAGATCGAGCTTACTACCAGCCATTGCAAAGGAAAGCTTTACTAGTTACAGAATTCCTGAGATTTTGTTCAGCCTGATTTCTCTGGAAAACACGTGATTACGCTTGGTACTGCAGACTGAGAAAAATTTCTCCCATGGATCCTCAACAGAGGACGCCACGTAATGTAGTTATCTAACATAATAGCTAACGTTTAGTGGGAACTATCCAAGTACTGTCAGCCTTGTTACCCTCATATTTCAGAAGAACTCTCCTAGGCTCTTCTGAGGTGAGGCAAGGTGGCTCAGAGAAGTTCCACAACTTGGCCAGGCTGTACGGCTCGTCAGTGTGGGCCTGGACTTGACTGGGTCTGTTAGGCACTGAAGTCCCTGCTACTTCATGAACAGTAACCCTAGAGCGACATCAGCGAGTTCTTTCTGGTATTTCTTATAATGACCGCAATAACCAAAGACAAAAATGTGTGTCAACAAAGGAGCAAATCATCGTCAAACTGGAAGCCTAAAGCATTACTTGTAACACTTTAATTTTTTATTTATTTTTTATCCTTACCCGAGGACATCTTTGCATTCATCTTCAGCTAGAGCGGGAGGGAGAGAGGGAGGAAGAGAGAGAGAAACATCGATGTGAGAGAGACACGAGTGGTTGCCACCCACACGACCCCAACCGGGCTGGGGGACAAACTGCAGCCAAAGTACATGCTCTTAGTGGGAATTGAACCCGGGACTGTCTGGTCCACAGGCCAATGCTCCAACTGCTGAGCCAAACCAGCCAGGGCACACTTTAATTTTTTAAGTTAAATTTTGTACTTCCCACTAGTAAATTAGTAAAAATTAAGAAATGAATGTTGTTTTTCATGGCTACAAATTCTCTATTTCTCTGGTAAATAAAACAGTTCAAGTTTTCAAAGTTCCATCTCTTCTCTTTTGTGTAGATTGTAGCTCTCACACAGACTCTAGAGGATTTTCTCACGGTCTACAAGAAGTAAAGTACATTTGTCAATTCTAGAGGAGTCTTTCTTAAATTGTCTGCCATCTTTTGTTTAATCTTTGCAGCTCTGTGGAAAACAATTTAGTTTTTTTCCTACTTGCAAAAAAACTTTTCCACTAAAACCTGTTGGAAATATGAAATAGGTTATATTTCCATCCAAGAGAAGCTTACTACTTATTTGTATAGTATTTTCCCTTTGTGTCGAAGAGTGGCATTAAGTGAATGCCCACAAAGCATCTTAGAGGCTAAGGAAGGATTAAACTGAAGGCTAAATCCTGAGACAGGTTTATGTTCACTGTCGTGCACTTTCCTGGGGCTTAACGTCTTTCCGCCTAGCTGCAGAGGGTATCAGAGGACAGCCTTTCTGTCATGAAATAGGACTAATCAACTTAGTCGAGTTCGTATTTAAGGCCAGGTGAAGTAACTGAGACAGTGTCTGCAACAGTGGTCAGACGTGCTTTTCAACCTGCAGTCAGAGAAGCTTCTGCAATTTAAAGACAGGAAGTTTTTGGTTTTTTTTTTTTTGTTTTTTTTTCCATGAGCAATGTCAAAACCAAGAAATCTTCACAGAGGATGTAAGTATACCTATACATTGGTTAGTCTAAACTGAGGCTAGTCACTTTTATTAAAATATTTGCACATGTAAAATAAAAGGACAATTTTATCTTAAAAGGAATATAGTTCTATAGGAGTCTGATGAAAAATGAAGAAATAAGGAAATAATCTTGTATAAGTATCATCAACAGCTTTCCTCCTATAACCACTGGTGGGTACAATATAAAAATAAAACACAGTACACTTTGGAAAAATTAATTTATGTAAATATTTATCTATAGATGTTATTGGCTCCATTACTAGCAGTATGTTAGCTAATAAATTCTTCTTTGGCTGAAGTTACTAAAGAGCAAAGATAATATATTGCTCATGCCAAATAAAGAAATAAATACTGCCTTGCCTTAGTTTTTTTTTTTCCAGTAAAAGTAAAAGAAAGTTTTTAAAAGATAAAGTCAGTTTAAAGTTGTATATAAATTTAAGTGTTTTGTCATCTTCAAGTATATTAAGGACGTGTCTCTGTGTGTTACTGTTATATATTTACTATGCATTATTATTGTAATGGACTCCTACTACTGCAGATAACTATATTCCAAAAATTGTCATGATGTGTAGACCATGAAGTATCAGAGAAGAAAATTTTGGAAAAAACATCGAGGAACAAACAATCATAATTGTGAAAAACAATCTCTCATGTTAATATTTATTTTTTCTTCTTTAATTATTTTTATTAACGTATTTTTGTTACAGATGTTTCTCCTTTTTCCCCCTTTGACACCCACCTCCCAATCTCCCCCCCCACCCCTCTCCTCAGCCGCTGCGTCCCCGGCTTTGTTGTCCATGTCCACTGGTTACGCATACATGCATATAAGTTCTGTGGTTTATCTTCCCTCCCCCTGCTACTCCCTCTTCTGAGGTTTGTCAGTCTGTACTCTACTTCTATGTCTCTGGGTCTGTTTTGTTCATCAGTTTGTTTTGTTCATTATATAACACAAATAAGTGAGATCATGTGATATTTGTCTTTCTCTGCTTGGCTTGTTTCACTTAGGATAATACTCTCCAGGTCCCTCCATGTCGTCTCAAAGGATAAGAGATCTTTCTTTCTTACAGCTGCAGAGTATACTTAACTCATTCTCAAAAATGATCTAAAGTACCTAAAATTCAGTTCAATTATATGAGTATTGCTAGACTCTCACTTTGGTCTATGTAAAGATTTATATATATTAGGTTTTGGTTCACAATCTTTTGAAGAAAGTGAACATAATTTATACAAACTGTAGTAACACATTAATTATGTTGCATTCAAGCAGAAAAGATATCACATATTTCTACTTGCTTAATGATGTCAAAGGTTTATCCCTTTGTGTTCCACTATCTGCAAATGTGCCTAGAACGTCACATTTCAAGAAGGCACAAGTGGATCTACTGACCATGAGCTCCCAGAGTGAAAATGAGGGGCGAGGACCCTGCACGTGTCCTCTGTCTTCACCAACACTGCAGGGTATATTCACTGTGAAGTGGTGCATTTAGAAAGTGTTAAAGCACGTCTTTAGCAGAAGCGAAATATATTTTATGACCACTGCCAAATGCTTCTGTATTAACTGTCTTTGTTGGCAGTGCTACAGTGATAACTCATTTTTGCTTGTACTGTGCTAGAATAACAGAAATAGCGCTTATTGTTATTTAAAACCAAAATTAAGTCTAGCTGCCTTCTAAAGTAGGATGTTAGTGACATACTTCAAACCAGTAGAAAAGAACTCTCCAAACCTCCTATTCTTAAAGATGGGTAGGGAGGGAGTCCAGAGTGACCCAGAGTGGAAGGCCCATTGAGGAGAGGCTCAGAGCAGAGTCTGGAAGAGGGTCTAGAGAGGCTTCTGCAAAACAAAGTAGGAGGAATTGGTTTGGGGTTGTTGGGGTACCAGCTGAAAGAAGGTCAAAGAAAACAATAAGAAACCAGAGCGTGACTTGTCAAAATTGCCCAAAGGAATGTTTCACAATGGAAAAGTCATGTTTAATTTTAAGTTGTTCTTGACACACCCCACTCCAATTGGCCAAGATGTCAGTTAAAGTCGGCTGCACACTGTGCGTGGTTTTATGTGGACAGTTCAAGATATGGACTGCATTCTGGGTCAGTGAGCCATGGGATGGACTGGGAGCCTCACAAGGCAAACACTTGTAGACAGAGTGCCTGCAAGGATGGAACCCCCAGGGATGGGCAGAAGCCCTGCGGAAGATGTGGGATAGGGGCTGAAGGTGACATTGGTCACTCAAATTTTAAGGAGCAATGTCATGTGTCCTGTTATAAATTACTGTGATGCACATTTGGATTGGAGATATTTTAAACTATGTTTTCCACTTGAAATGAGTGTTTGGATAATTTTAGAATTCCCTTGCAATCTTCTCAAGAAATATGTGATTCTACAATTAGAACAGTCAAATATTTTATGCCAATTTATTCATCTAGTCTTGCCTTCAATTTTATTTCAATTAACAAATGTATTCTGAATATTGATACAATAATTTCTATTTTACATGATATTTTATATAATTATTCTTAAATTTTTTCTCACATTGGATATAAAAATGGATTTTTCACACTCTATCTACAGCTATGAGAAATTAACATTATACCTCTTATCACAGCTAATTTTTCTGTTAGAAGTATTTGATAATGAAATGGTTTAGGGCAGCTCTTTTGGCCTTCCTAGTTTTAAAAATTAATTCCCATTTGTATTTTTAAAAATTAAAATATACTTTAGGAAGTGTGAAATGTGCTTTAGCATTAATATGCTTTTCATAACTCACTTTAATATAGGACACCTAAAACAGTGAATATGTGAAGATACTGGGGGTTGTTTTATACCTTAAAAAAAGACCTCTAAGGATATCATGTTCTAATTTTAATTTAAGAATGTATATTTCTTTTTCTCTGAATTGTACAAACACTTGATCCTACTGATCTTCCTTTTAAATGTAAAAACTTACCAAATACAGCAGCTATTTTAAAAAGTGTTTATTTAAAATGAATATATCCTAGAATTCATGCATCATACATGCAACAGATATTCTCCATGTAACTGCTCAAAATAAAACTTGGCCAAACTCAAATTGCATTTACTTTAACGAATGGTCATAGTATAGCCAGCGAGAAACTGAAATATAATCGAATTTGCACCTGGCTACTGTGCACCAGGCAGGCGTTCAGTAAATACCTGCTGACTTGGCAAGGGCTTTGGTTCATGAAGTTCATGTCTTACTACTACTGCCCTAATCAGTTGAGACAGAATTAGCACTAGCTAAGTCGCCAGTGTGCTGCCTGAAGGAGTTTGTCGAGGGTAAGAGTCTGAAGACAGAGATTAAGGAGTCCTCATCCTCCTAAAGTGCTGGGCATCCCGGATTAGAGCTCTGGGTCAGAGAAATCCAGGCTGAATGCAGACCTGAGCACCAGTGCACTCCCGCAGTTGGGATTACCAGACACGCTCCGCGTTTAAAACTGGTCTCTCAGCCTGCACTTTGACTCAAGAGCATTTCATCTGCCATAGCAAAGTGACCTTGGTTCATAATTTGTCTACATGTGTGGTTTTGTTTTTAATAAAAGGATATTCAGAAAATGGGAAAATTAGTATTTAAAGACTCATGGGTTGACCCTATGACTCAGTGTCTCTGAAATGGTGTATATGTAGAAACAGAGATTTGGAGCTTCAAGTATCTATCCAGCTAATAAAGGGAAGCATATAGTCAATCCCAGAATATTTCCTTGAAAGTGTCCTGATAGTATTTATTTTAAAATATAATTTGGCTCAGGGGATTGAAACTGTTCTGTATCACACTATAATGGTGAATACATGTCATTATGCATCTGTCAAAACGCACAGAATGTACACTAAGCGTGAACCCTGAGGTAAACTGTGGATTCTTGGTGATGGTGATGTGTCAGTGTAGGTTCATCAGTTGTAACAAATATACCACTCTGGGGAAGGCTATACATTGGTGGGGGGGAGGTATATGGCAATTCTCTGTACCTACTCAATGTTTCTGTGAAACTAAAAATATAAATATAAAGTTATTTTACATATATATATATATAATATTGGCAAACAAAAGATAACAAGCTTATCGTGACAGAAAGTTATCTTAGTCCATTCAGCCTGCTGTAACAGAAGACTACAGTCTGGATGGCTTATAAACACAGATGCCCTGGAGGCAGGAAGTCCAAGGTGAAGGTACCAGCAGATTCAGTGTCTGGTGAGGACCTTCTTCCTGGTTCATGGACTGGCATCTTCTTGTAGTGTCCTTATGTGACAGAAAGGTCAGGGAGATCTCTGCTGTCTCACTTCTAAGGGTGCTAATCTCATTCATGAGGGCTCCACTTTCATGACCTAATCACCTCCAAACTCCATCGCATTGGGGATTAGGTTACAACACAGGAACCTGTGGGTGGGGAGATATAAGCATTCAGTCTATAAAATGTGTTTTTTAATGAAAATCTGGGCAGTAATAGATATGATAGTGACAGGTAACAAAGCACTTGCTCACCACAGAAACTAGGAAAAGAAACTAGGAAAGCCAAGCAGAGCCTGGAATCATAACACTTAGTGTGGTGGATGTCAACGACTCAGTGTCCTCCCCAGAGACCTCCATGACATAAGAATATTTCCTTAGACATTGGAAATAATTTACATTTTAAGTAAAAACTTGGTGGATTGATTTGATAATAATAAACTACCATATCAAGAGTGTAACAAGCCCTGGCCAGGTTTGGCTCAGCGGTTAGAACACTGGCCCTTGGACCAAAGAATTACAGGTTCCATCCCTGGTCAAGGGCGTGTACCTCAGTTGTGAGTTTAATCCCTGGCCCCAGGTGGGGTCATTCAGGAGGCAGTCAATCAGTGTGTTTCTCTCACATCGATGTTTCTCTCTCTCTCTTTCCCTTCCTCCCTCCCACTCTATCTAAAAAGAAATCAATGGAAAAGTATTTTTGGGTGAGGATTAAAAACAAACAAAAAGTGTAACTAAGTTTTATAGATTACATTCAACTCATTGCAAAAAGAGTGAAAGGCAGACCCAAGAACCATAGAATCCAGAACAGATATGGTACCAAGAAGGGCTTTAACTTAGATGAGACTTGTCTCTGATGACTCATTTCTTCATCTCAATTAGCTTGATAGCCCTGTATTCTCCACTTATTTCATTGAACATGTGACTAACAGTGAAAAATATCCTGCTGTGCTGTTGCAGACAATGGACCCCCCAGAGCTTCGTAGAAATATGCTTGTGCCTGGCAAACCTGGCAGTCCAGACGGGAGGCATCTGTGCCGATTATCTAGTGGAATGACACTGGAAGGTAACTACTTTGCCTCAACTGCACTAGACCCTGTTGCTGCCCTATCCCATGTCCCCTTGGCCCACTTCTGAGTTCACCTGCAACCCCGAAGGTCATTTTCTACCTCAAACTCCTGCATTGCTCAACTTCTCAGTCTGAAGGCTTACTCCTGCACCATAGAAGATTTTTGGATCAGGCTCAGGCATAACCCAGATGTGAGTGAGAAGTGTGCTGTCAGAAATGGATGGGTAAATAGCCAACTCTTTGTCCTTCACTGGGTCATGTCTCAGGTGTGTACCACAAGGTTTCTTAGAAGATCTCTAGCAGGATTGAGCACTGGTTGCCCACAGTGGTAACTCACCCTTTCCCTACTCCCTCATGTGGGCTTCTTGGGGTCACCTCCCAAATAAACTACCTGCACTCAAGCTCTTGTCTCAAGGCCTGCTTAAGGGGAATCCCAAATAAGACAGTCTCGTGTCCTCGGTGGCTGATCTCCGTGGCATTTCCCTGAGCTGGATTGTGTGAGGAAGAGGGGTAGTCACTACTTTGAAAAGCAGAATTTTTCTTCCTAATTTCCTTCTTTTTCAAAAGTTGTAGATATCTTGGTTTTCGAGGGGTTTTTTTTTGAGTGACAACTGAGGACGAAGGAGAAGCTAAAATGACCTCTTTCACTAGTACTTGTTAAATATTTTAAATTATTCAAAGGACATTAATAATTAACAAAAAAAGGTAAGGCAAATTATTATCCCCCTAATAAGGGTCTCTTTTTTTTTTATTACTAGGCACTGAAGATTCAGTCATGAATCCTTGTGCTTATGTATGTTTGAATATGACTTGGTCACCTATTCTAATTAAATACAGTTTTGCCCTGGCCGATATAGCTCAGCGGTAAGAATGCCACCTGCGGACCAAGGAGTCCTGGGTTCGATTCTGGCCAAGGGCACGTGTACTTCGGTTGCAGTTCGATCCCCGGCCCTGGTTGGGGTTGTGTGAGTGGCAACCAATCAGTGTGTCTCTTTCACACCGATGTTTCTCTCTCTCTCTCTCCCCCTCCAGCTCTACCTGAAGATTAATGTAAAAATGTCCTCGAGTGAGGATTAAAAATATATATACATATATATAGTCTCATGCTTTCAGCCTGTATCCTTTCTAATTAAATATACTGTTAGCCATAAGAAGATATCCCCTTTCTTTTTTGTTTTAATCTTATCAACTAAACAGGAAGATTTTTCCAAAGATTGAACATGAAGAAGAGTGTATGCATTTTTACCTCTAGAAACATACAAATCAAAATAAGTTGTAAGAGAGGAAGTTGGTATTTCTGGAATCTTGCAAGACAGGTTTAATTTTATTATTGCTTGTAGCATGGTGTGCTATTATCTGTGGACTCTGCAACAAATTTCAGGGGCACATGCATAAAACACCAAGTTCTACAGTTGTATCTGGGTGCTTACAATGGAGAGGTTTTTGTGTAACAGAAAGCTTGGTGCAGCTAGTCTTCCCAAATGGTGGAAAAATACAAAAGATGTTCATGTGTTTAAGAAGAATTCAAATATTTTTCAAAAAGTAGAATTATTTGTTAACATACATATCTGGTTCTTTTTAGAATTCCATCAGTGGCAACAGGTATTGATGATAAACCCAACGATGGCCATGAACCCTTTATTGACAGCATCACAGCAGCAAAAGATCCCCCTGGTTCCCTCACCATTTGAACCTCCGACTGTGGATAGGTATTTCTTTCCAAAACAATATTATGGTCAAAGGAGAACATGGATAATAATTAAGTTTTTGAATGATTTTTATCCCAGTGTTGTTTTATGGTCTAATGTTATTTCAGTGAATTGTGGTGCAGTAATTCATGTCAAGATATTCTGCCGGCTGTACCTTCAACACACTTCCCATCCTTTCCCCTTTGAGGCCTGCTTGACATACTCATAAAGTAGCTTACAAGCACTTTTACTATGTCACAGGCATTGGCCGGAGCAAACACTGGTAGAGTCTGTGAGAGCTGCCATAATGAAATACCACAGACGAGTGGCTCGAACAACAGAAATTTATTTCTCACAGTTCTAGAAATTGAAAGTCCTAGATCAAGGTGTTGGCAGGGTTGGTTTGTGGCGAGACCTCTCTCCTTGGCTTGCAGACAGCTATCTTCTTGCTGTGTCCTCACAGGGACTTTTTCTCTGTACATATGCACTCCTGGTATCTCCTTCTCTTCTTATAAGAACACCATTCCTGTTGGATTATGATTCTACACTTTTGCCCTCATTTAACCTTAATTACCCCTTAAAGGCCTTATCTCTAAAGACAGTCCCATTGTGGGTTAGGACTTTAACATATGGATTTAGAGGGACGTAATTTACTTCATAATAATTGGGTGCCCTGGATTTCCTGTGATAGAACAATTATTTCTTTTCAATAAAAGTGACATTATCAGTATTTATGTTGCACACTCTGACAATTTCCTATCTTTTCTTCTTTAGAATATTTTGACATTTTGAGGAGAAAGTAAAAATCTATTATTTAATCTTGTTCATGGAGTATGAACAATAAATTTGACTTCTAGAGACCACTGAAGTTTGGCAAAATAAATAAATTATCTACCAGAAAGTCAAACTTTGGTTCCAGAGAGCAAAACCCAAGTCAAACATCGGTAAATGAGTAAAACATGTTGTGGTCAGAAGAGTATGTTGAGGTGGCTTGAACCTGAGACTTGGCCTTTCATCTTCCTTCCTAAACATTAGCTTAGTACCCACTCCAGCTTCTCCACCAATTACCAGACCCTGAGTTCCATGCAGTCACCCAGCCACTAGCCAGGCTGGCCAGCAGTGTGTTCAGAGTCTATGCAGGTGCTGGGAGCTCAGGTTCCTGGATCTTCGTGTTCCACCCCACAAACGAGTGAGGCAGCTGGGGGTCTGGGGACCTGGCAGGCATAGGGAGTATCTAGAGTGAGAAGGAGACTATGCAATGCCTGAATGACCACCAGGCCTCTTACCTGGAGAAGATAAGGAGTGTGGAGGCTGATAATTGGAGACAGAGAGCAAAATCCTTGAACATCTGGAGAAGAGGGGACCCCAGGTCAGAGACTGGAGGCATTACTGCAAGACCATTGAGGATGTGAGGATTCAGATCTTTGCAACTTCTGTGGACAATGCTGGCACTGTTCTGCAGATTGACAATACCAGCCTTGCTGCTGATGACTTCAGAGTCAAGTATGAGACAGAGCTGGCTGTGTACCAGTCTGTGGAGAATGGCATCATTGGGCTTCGAAAGGTTAATGATGACACCAATACTGCTTGGCTCAATTAGAGACACGACAGAGAGTGAAACTCTCAAGAAGGAGCTGCTCTTTATGAAGAAGAACCACTAGGAGGAAGCAAATGGTCTACCAAACCAGATTGCTAACTCTGGGTTGACTGTGGAGTTGGATGCTCCCATATGTCAAGACCTCAGCAAGATAATGGTGGATATCGGGCACAATATTATAAGCTGGCTCAGAAGAACTGAGAGAAACTAGACAAGTACTGGTTCCAGCATATCGAGGAGAGCACCACAGTGGTCATTTCACAGACCATTGATAGAAGCTGCTGAGATGACACTCACAGAGCTGAGGTGTACAGTTCAGTCCTTGGAGATCAACCTGGACTTTATAAGAAATCTGAAGTGCAGCTTGGAGAACAGTTTTAGGGAGATGAAGATGCACTATGCCATACAGATGGAACAGCTCAACAGGATTCTGCTGCACCTGGAGTCAGAGCTGGCCCATACCAGGGCAGAGGGGCAGCCCCAGGAGCATAAAGCTCTGCTGAACATCAAGGTCAAGTTGGAAGCTGAGATTGCCATCTACCCCTGCCAGCTGGAGGAAGGGGAGGGCTTTGATAATACCCCAGGTAACAGCAACTCCATGCAATCCACCCAAAAGACCATCACCCACAGGACTGTGGATGGCAAAGTGGTGTCTGAGGTTAATGACACAAAGTTCTGAGGTGTTAAAGCAGCAGAAACAAGGAATTCCTTGTAGGGGGCAGGAGACTAATAAAAAGTTCAGAGGTCAGTCCAGCCAGTGTGGCTCAGTGGTTGAGCATCGATCATGCACCAAGAGGTAGCTGGTTCAATTCCTGCTCAGGACGCATTCCCAGATTGTGGGCCCGATCCCGAGTGGGGGGCATGCAGGAAGCGGCCAGTCAATGTTCTCTCTCATCAATGTTTCTCTCTCTCTCTCCCTCTCCCTTCCTCTCTCTCTAATAACAATAAAGGGAAAAATTTTTTTTTAAAGTTCAGAGGTCATTAAATAATTTTTTAAAAAACAGGAACACTATATTGGTCATGGAAAATCAGATCTTTTCATTCAGACATCCCTAAAACTTTTCTTTCCTGCTTTCTCTGTTGTCAGTTGGGTCACTCCTTCCTTAGTAGAGTTCTTCCTCATCTTTTTTACCCTATTTCTACTTAAACCAATAGAGAGTGCAGGACTTTTGTATTTCATTTTGGGAAGAGATAATAGAATTTCATATAGCAATAAAAAATCTCATTGCTTATGCAGTGGAAATTTTGTACAATTCCATTCTCATTTTATCTGTTTTATATATTTTCCCTAGAGATTTATTGCCTTCCAATATAGCTCCAACTGACTCAAGACAATTTTGTGTTCCATCCCAATTTGGATCCTCTGTTCTACCAAATGCAAATATGCCAAACATGATGTCCAACTGTATCTATTCAGGTATGAGCAATCGATGGCTCTCATGGCTGCAGGATGCCAATTTACTGGTGAATAACATGAAAATCTGCAATATTACTACCTGTCTTATCTTACATGTAAGGAACTGATGAAGTCATGAGGAGATAAAATATGAGAGTTAAAGGGGCTTGGGGAAGTTTATATGTGGCCTGATAGGTCAAGTGAGGACCTGCCTTTTATTCTGATCAAGAGGGAGACACTTTTAATGAGTTTAAACAAGTTAGTGACATGGTCTGACTTATATTTTACCAGGACCACTCTGGCTGCTATGTTGGGGACAAACTTAATAGGACAAAGTTCTGGGGATAAACTGGTGGGAGTAAATGGGTTATAAGAATAGTCAATAGATTATGATGGATTGGCCCTGGGTGGTGTCAGTAGGAACAGTAAGAAGTGGTTGGATTCTATAATTATTTTGAAGGTAGGAACAACAGGATTTTCTCACAGTTTAGATATGAGATGTGAGAGAAGGAGTGTTCAAGAGGATATAAAAAATTTTGGTCTGAGCAATCAGAAAGGTAAAGTTACTGTTTACTGAGTTGAGGAATACTATGAGAGGAACAGAGTTCTTGGGACAGGAGAGATATCATAGGCTCATTTTTGCTCATATTACAATTGAGATCTTTAATAGACAATCAATGAGAGATGTCGAGAAGGCAGCTGAAGTCCAGGGAGGACTTCTGGAGACACTATCAATATAATTTTGGAAGTTATCAGCATACATGAGACTAGATTAGATGATCTATGTAGTGAGTATGGATAGAAGTTAAAAGAATGATCCCTGGGACATACCAATGGGGTCGAGAAGATGTCGAGGAATAAACAAGGGAGAGATAGAAGGACCAACCGTGAAGTGGGAGGAAACCCAGGAGAGTATGGAGGCCAGGAAGGCAAGGGAAGAAATATTTTAAGGAAAGATTATGCAACTATGTCCAGTATGCCACTCATAGATTAAGTAGATGAGGACTAAGAACATGTAATTAGATTTGGCTAAGTGGAGGTCATTGGTGATCTCGTAAGAGCCCTTGCAGTAGAATGGCAACAGAGAAAACATGACTGGTGGGGGCTCAAGAAAGAGTAGGAGACTAGAATTTCCTCATCATATTGAAGATCAAACTGATACATCTTCCCAATTCCAACAAGTCTTAATAGACAAGAACAATGTGAGTCAGAAACTTGACCCAAAAAGAAATATGATTGATACCAGGGCCAGTGAAGACACTGGCTTGTCTGGATTTGAGCTCCGCAGTGCATGGATCCACTGCAGTGAGACTGGGTGTCCAAACAAGGACCAGATTTAAAACTAACACCCACACTGGAGTGGCCTGAGGACCAAATAAGACAGCTGATTCTGGATGGAAGTTCCATCTGGCAGCAAGAACCCAATAAATCGATTGCCGTAGTTACAGGCAACAAATAGACCACAGACTCAGAGTGTCCTTCTTAGAGTGAAGAATTCAGAAACTGCCAATATTTGGATACAAACAGGCAGGTTGATTACCTGTCCTGAGGATATGGGCCAGGTCTCCCACCCCAAGGCTAATGTGTAGGAAAGTAAGCAAAGGCAAGGTAGGGCCTCGCTTCTATAGAAACTGAGCTTCTAAGTTAGCAAAATTAAAATTAAGACGGGTCTATTTTAAAAATGGGGTGTTACGTAGGGAGTGACTTATTACAGCTAGACCAGCACTAAGTTTGAGGTCACTTATTTGGGAAAGAAAGAAATTTGGAATAGGTTTGATGAGTTTGGATTTTAAAAAGTCCTGAAATCTAGGTAATTAGAACTGTACTCTCTACACTGGACTTCTCACATGGTCGTTCTCTGCATCCTTGGGCAGTACACCGTGAGCTGGCACTTTAAAGGAGAATATCTTGGAGCTACTCAACTATAAAAATATAGAGCTTTAGCATTAGAGGATTTTTATTTTTATTTTTTATTAATTTATTTTTGGTACAGATGTTTCTCTTTTTTTCCCCATTGACACCCTCCTCCCCGTCCCCCCCTCACCCCGTCCCCAGGTTTGTTGTCCATGTCCATTGGTTATGCGTACATGCATATAAGTTCTGTGGTTTATCTTTTCCCTCCCCCGCCTCCTCCTCTTCTGAGGGTTGTCAGTCTGTACCCTACTTCCATATCTCTGGGTCTACCCTGTTCCTCAGACTGTTATGTTGCATTCGAGGATTTTTAGAGGTCACGTCATCTAACCTCTGATTTTTAAAAATGATAGAACACCACAAAAAGGATATAGTGTGGTTTATTTCAAGATAGGTTATTATTAATAGTTTAGCTTAGTACAGAGTAAGTATAAAAAGTAGTTCTAGCCTTCATGATACTTACTCTCTTTTTGGAGAGAACAGATTTACACAAATACAAATATAGTTGACCAAAACTATGAATAGTAAGTACAATTTGTGTGTCTATTATTATTAGAATATACTTTGTGGACCTGCATTGGTCTGTGAAGCGTTGGTACAAATAAATGTATAAATAGAGAGTAAGGGCTGAGAAATTTTTAAATAGCAATTTGACAGGGTGATTTTATGCCTTTTACTCTAATAATTTAAAAATATGTTTCTTGTATTTGTTCTTGTTTTTATTTAAATTTTCTAAAATTTCATTTTATTATATATTTTTTAAAGTATTGGTCCATGATGAGTTGGAAATTTAAAAAGAAAAATGCTCTCACCATAGATGGTTTGAGAAGCGGCAGAATGAACCCTAAGTGCATTAGGAGTGCAAATGGAGGAAAAATCAATATAGCGTGGAGTTGCTAGGCAAGAACAGAGCCTTGAACTCTGATTATGCTGCCATTATTTCAAGACATTTTAGCAGCTTGACACACCAAATAATATAATTGCTGTCCAACTCCATTGACATGGTTTCAGAAAAAGGATTTTCCTTAGATACACCAAAAGGTCCACATAGAGAACTATATATTTTATCCTCTTAATTAATGCATTTACTTCCAGGGATTTCAGTGCATCAGGAAGCACTTAGTTACATTTTTTTTAAAAAAAGGTCAACTAATTTCTCTAGCACCAAAGGAAAAAAAACCCAGCTATCAATGTTTACTTCAAAAGCAAGAGATCAAGAGATCTACAGTTTATTTTATCTTTTTCCTGTTGAAAGATGGCAGGAAATGTCACTAATCAGGAGACTCATCCTTAAAGAAAAAAAAGTATTTAGTGTTATCATGATACCCTCACCAACATGACTCTAAGATGCTGAAGAGCAATGATACTGTTACAACATTGTGCTCAACTGGTGGTGTTTTGCAATTACTATTTTAATCATTATGCTTTATTTTATTATTTTCAAATGGGTGTTGTTAATTTGTTTGTGGGGTGAGATGGTGATTTTCTTTCTTAAGGTTGGGGCATTTTACCACCCGAATCCTTGAAGGCAATGGCCAGAAGGAATGAAATGATTCAAAGGCAGCATACTGCCAGGTAAAGTGACAATTTCGCTTCATTTATTTTCTATTTGTTCACTTGTTTGTTTATTCATTTGTTTTAGATAGATAGGTAAATAGATATAGTTATATATACTTTTATATACATTCATTCATTTACAATCTTTGTAAATTGTTGTATTTGTGTATGTTGCTATGTTTGTGTATATAAATACATTCTGAATGAATATATATGTATATATCTGTATATACCTCTGTCTATATAGATATATATACACACGCACTCTGATCACCTACTATCACTTACAAAAATATTTCAAGAATATTACAAAAAAAGAAACATATACATACATTTACAAATGTTGGTTAAGGATAAAAGCAAGATTAGACATTACATAGTGAAGCAAAGTTTACAGACTGTAATAGTTTGTCAGTGTCTCATAATGAAAATGCCTAGCTGTGATTCCTCTGAAATTAATGTTGGCATTTTTGTCTTAAATGAACTCAATTCTGCCCAAAGGGAGGAGCCAAGCTTGCCAATCTCACCTCAGACAGTGCCGCAGAGTCCAGGCAGCCCCCATGTCAACTCAACAGTGGCCTTCAGGTCTAGCCACCAGGAGAAGGAAAAGATAGTGGTAGTGACCGGGGTGTGGCCTGTGGGGAAAAGAAGGCATCAGAGTCAATTTTCTCATCACTGAATCTAAGGGGTCCAGGTCATGACCAGTAAGCAAGGAAAAGTATGCAAAAACACCAAGCCCGTCTTCTCCCCTCCCCCAACCCCTGCCACTTGCAGTAATTTATAACAGTCGAGACTTGCATTGACTTATTTCAGTTCATGAGTCCCACTAAATTTGTATGGCAGGGTTTTAAATTCTCTTCCAGAATTTTAGTTTCTTTGAGAATTAATCTCTGGCAAGAAATTTCCCTGTGCTGCTTTATTAATTTATAGTAACAATGTGTATAAATTTAACAGGCTAAACTGTTAAATTTGTCAGATCTATTAGAGGTGAGTCTCTACAGACTGGTCTTGGACATTCCATTGTGAGAGTCAGCCATGCCCTTTACCCTCATATCTTACCCCAAACTCTCCTTCCCAGTGGTTTTGTGGGGAATTTGTTTGTTTAGATTTCATCCAACAAACTTCAGATAAGTGGTATGAAGACTCATGGGAAAAACAGAGGTGAAATCTTAGGGAAGGCAGAGGGCCATTAAAATTATATTTCTTAAAATTTTTTTTTAATTTGTTGGGGTAACACTGGTTAATAAAATTACATAAGTTTCAAGTGTACAATTCTATAATACAGCATCTGTATATTGTCTTGTGTGTTCACCACCCAGAGTCAAGTCTCCTTTCATCACCATAAAATTTTACTTCTATTGGTTTTCTTGGGTTGTGTAAAATGCATTCTTTTGTTCTAGGATGGAAATGGAAATGCATGCCATTTACCAGCAAAGGAAAATAGAAAGAGTGAATCCCAAGGGATTAGCAGGTCTGGGAATACCATTCCTCTATGGCCCCAGTGTCCCAGCTGGCCCAGCCACCTGCCATGGCAGGAGCATGCTCCCTGCCAGTGACCTGAACTTGCATAGATGCTCCCTCAGGAACCTTCATGGAAACCCCATGCTAGTGGCAACTGGTCCACGCTACCCAGAGGGTTGGGGGCAGAAATGTCGTCGTCTCAGGAGAGGTACAGGGAATCAGAAAATTCTAGACAGTGATACTGAGAGTTCCAAAAGTCAAGCAGAAGAAAAATCCCTCGACCAGGTCCATGTGATTCCCTATGAAGAGGATGAGTATGCAAAAGACCCAGAAACCGAAGCCCTCAACAACCAGAAGTCAAGCAAAATCAATGAAAAGCCAACGACAGTTCTTGCCAACACCTGTGGAGAGTCGGAGCCTACCCTTAGAAAACCCTGGGGAGCTCCCGGCGGCGCAATGGAAGCAAAGGCCTGGGACAGTGGGAGAGAGGGTTCAGAGCAGGTTTTTACAGCCTGTGGTGAAAAGAATGGGATTTACCCTCCACTTCCTCAACCATCTTTGTCAGGTGGGTGTCCAGGTGCCAATAGCCAATGGCAGATTCTCATGAATCACAGGTCCTCAAGTCCTTAAGTAATTGCATAGTGAGCTAAAACCATGACGCTTCTTTTTATCTTTCCTTTTGTTAATCATATTTAAAAATACTTCTTCTTGAAGTCATTTTTTTACTTTAGATCCAAGAAGCCATATCAGTGAAACTCATCTCTATATATTGCTATGTAGAGAATTTACAGCAAAAAGTTAGGAAGGCAAGTATGAAGAAGGATGGGCAAACATACCAGAATTTTTCATTAAAATTTTAATTTAATTTGCTGTTAATTTCTTAATTTAATTTGCTTAAAAGTATGACTTCTATCTGTATTTAAGTGTAAAAAAAAAAACCAAAAGCCAGAAGCATTCATTTTCAGTACCCATTACTGTTAATACCTTCTGATCTAAAAGTATAAACACATTATTCACCCCCCAGTCCCGAAAATAAGTTCTGGTTTTCTAGAATTTATTCAGATAAAATATTTAAAAACACAGGGATTGGGATGATATGTGTGTTTGTGTGTGTGTGGGGGGGGGGGGGTCATGACCTAGTCACCAGACCAGCTGCTTCTCTTACAAAGTGTGAATTTGCTATTTTGACGAAGATGCAGCTAAATCCAAGTGTCACCTAAGACCACGATAAATCACAAAACATCATAGGACATGGTAGTGTTAATCTGCAAAACGAAGTCCACAGGGCATTTCCACTGGATCTGAGAGAAGCCATCCTGGAACTTGGTTTACTTAGGATAATGTCATTAAAGATCTAGAGGAGGAAAAGAAAGGAGGCAGCTTAACTGTTTAGAAAACATCTCTCAATAACTCTTACCATCCTTTAAGCAGTTTACATGTAGATTGACATAAAGGGATCACTCTATGGTAATAAAATAGGAGGACATTAATGAAACTATACATAAAGTAGGACTCTTAGGGTCCCTCTTTCCCCTGAAAATAATTTTCTCTCTATTTTAAAGGAACGCATATACTGGTTACAAGTAGGGCGACTCTGTCTTTGGATGAAGATATTCAGAAATGGACCGTGAGTGATGTACACAGCTTCATCAGTGGCCTTCCGGGTTGTTCAGACTATGCTCAGGTGACCTAAATTTAAGTATTTTCATTTTAAGTATCTTACTTTTAAATATATTTCCTTTATAATGAGTTCTGTCACATTTGCATTTTGCCCCTCAGAGAGGGTTCCTAATAATCTCCCCTTGTTTTATGTCATTGGCTACCCTGGGACAGGAGCCTCTGTTTGGTAGAGCTGGGGGGGCTCATGCCCACACCCCAGCTGGGAAAGCCTGTGTTTGGGTTTAATTTCTGTTCCATCAAGGCTCCTGAGAGGTGGGAATTCTCCCCAAATTAGGAGGTTCAGAGACCAAAGATGCAAAAAGAATGAGAAATGTCTACTACCTTTCCTACTTGTTCATAAACAAACATTTTGGGGGCAGATACTTCTGTACCAGAAGTTTTAGGCTACTCATAATAGGTAACGACATATATGCTTCATTTTCTAAAGGACAAGAAGGCAATAGATCTGAAAAGCTGGAGATGAACTGTTTTTAAATTCTTTGTTCATGCGAGGACAATATACAAAGCTGCATACACACATATCATTCTATCTAGTAGATAAACACTATGTTCTTAAAAATTCCAATAATGCCAGGATAGTTGGAATGAAGACTAATTTCATGTTTATGGGAAAATTGGTGACAAAAAGAGGTTGGCAAGTTTTTGAAGTTTACGTCAATGGTACATTTTCATGCATATAGTTTACTTTTTCAAGTGATTTAATAACACAATTTCAAGCAACAATGTGCTTACTAAATCTGATATCATTGTCTTAATATATATATTTATATATTAAAGGAAGCAAGAAAGAACACTGTGATTTAACAACATCATAAGTAAATGATGTTAGAGATAATTTTTTTTTTAGATCTTGGTTTGAGAGTATTTTTCTTCACGTAATGCTGTTCATTCTTTTCTTTATTTGTTCTGTTTATGAGACTTATGGAGAAGTTATATAGAGTAGTTATATAGAGTTATATAGAGTAGTAATTAAGAGTGTGGCTTATGAGACCAGAAAGTACAAGTTCAAATCCTGGCTTGTCCTCTTTCTGGACGTGTGATCCAGGACAAGTTGCCTCTCCTCTCAGTGTCTCATTTTTTCACCTGTAAAATGGGGATAGTATAATACACTCTCAAAGGATTGTTGTAAGCAATAAGGAGTGCCTGGCACCTTGTCAGTACTCAGTAAATGCTAATTTTATCATTAGGTCAGCCAGAAACAAGCAGCCTCGTGTATAATATACTTGGGATTGCTGACTTCTGATGGATTGAATCTGTTTGAGCTCTCATTATTATTAATCAGTCAGTGATCCAGTCATCAAAGTGCAGTTTATATTAACCACTCTTGTAATAAATAATGTTACATGCATTTCAAACCTTATCATCCCCAATGTCCTCTTGTGGGTACATGGAAGTCACATAAACACGACTACGCACCCTTTGCTGACTCATTATCTCTCACCAACAGGATGTCAGTGCTCCCTACCCTGCCCTAAGAAGCAGAAATCATTATTTCTAGGTGTGTCTCACATGTGCTTAGGATCCAGTCCTGCTCTGTTTTCCTCATCAAGGTCTGTTTTCTCCTGGCGACTACTGGTGAGACGAGTACAACAGGGCCGCTGCTGTCCTGGGCACGCCCCCACCACAGCGAGGGACGCTGTTCTGTACAGAAACAAGAGCATCCCCTGGAAGCAGCTGGGTGCAGCAGACCCTGACCAGCTCTGCTTGTGCTCGACTCCACACGTGCCATTGTCTGAAATGTGCCTTCAGCGTTTTCTCGCAGCCCCGGCTTACACCCACTGCCCCCGCCCTCTCTTTCTTCCCCTCTGCCTTAGGTGCCCACTCAGCCACCTCCCTCCACCTGCCTCCTATAGATAGCAAGAGAAATTCAGAAAAAATAACCACAACTAAAACCCAAGCCCCTATGCAAATGAACCCCTTTAAATAGAGGTAGAGAGAGGGTTGGTGGCTCAACTGTTTAGGGACATCCAGGAGACCCTGCGGCACATTTTGTTTGTCTAAGTAAATGTCTAGTTCCAAGAACTCAGCAGATAAAATATTCTCTTCCTAAAAGTAACTGAAGTGACTAAAAATATGTGCACACGTACGTGGTGCTTTTGGCCTAAACTGCTCTCGTGACAATGAGAATGAGACACCTTCTGAGAGACAGTGGCATGTTCAGGGTCTTTGCCTCAGGCCCAGGGTTCATCCACCAAGGCCGAGGGTTCAGCCCTCATGCATTTCAGGCCCTGGCTGCCAAACTACCTCTAACATTTATCCCTGTGGTTTCTCTTTCTTTGGTGCTTCCTGATAGTCCCCTCACTGCTCACTGGAATGCCGACCCAGGAAAGACACATGAGGAAATAACTCCCCCATTAATATATTTAACTGTTTTTATTAGCACTCCTTTTCTGAATGGCAGTGGCCTTAAGCAGGGACGATCCTAGCTCAGAATCATAAACTATATCTTTTTCTAAATTCTCAAAGTGGCAAGCTGTGAGCAGGCAACTCACCTAACCTTTTCTACATTGCTCTCTCCTTTATAAAAAATCATAACCAGAATGCGTATTCTTTGTTGGGTTGATTATCTGTGAGGCACTGTACTAGGCACATTGTGTAGAGATTATCCTTTACATTTAGTCTATACTAATTCTGCAAAGAAACGGTAGTAGTCCTATTTTGCAGCTAAATAAAACTGTCATCAAGGTAGCTAAAAGAGTAAGTACTTGAAAAATGTGTATGCGACTATGCATCTAACTCTTTCCATTATAATTACATTGAGGATATCGGGCAATGTGGTTTCTAGTCAAGAGCTCCTATGAGTTTTTAAAGGTGATAAAAAAAGATCCTTCATTTACTCTTTGTATTTAAAAAAACCTAAGAGAGATCACACATCCATTTCCCCAAGAGAAGGCCACAAGACTAACCCAAACTGTCAATTTTCTTGCTTAGGTCCAAATTAAATTAATTTATATCAGCCATTCTGTGATGTACTTCATTAAAATAGGAAAAGAAACAATTACTTAATAAATGTATTTTGCAAATAACTAAGACATTTAGCACACAAAGTTCCTGGTGCGGAAGCTTCCCAAGCAGACTCTAGTTTTCAGCTGGCCCCGCGGCGTGCCCTCCGGGCTGGAACACAGAGCGGAGACGCGCAAACAAGGTTCTTCCCGGGAGCCGTAGTCCAGACGAGGGAGGGACAGTCGTAAGTGATCCCGCAGCAGGTGGACGTGCTGTGAGAGGGCAGGCGCGGGCCTGGGAGGGGCGCACTGGAGGCCTCAAGGCTCCCTGCGGGAAGAAGAGGCAAAAGTGGGACCTGCCGGTGAGTTTATCAGCTGAGGAAGGGAGTGAGGCAGGAGAGAGGCAAAGGAGGACTTTCAGGCAAGGACTAGAAGCCAGAGAGAACTTAGAGTCGTAAATAGTGGGATTTGAGAGCAGTTTCTAGTGGCAGAGACGGCCAGGGCCAAGGGGGAGGGGTGAGGATGGCCAGACAGAGGCTGGGGTGGGAGCAGGGGCCAGGTCACAAAGAGCCCTGGAGACCCAGAGGTGGACTAGGACTTTATCCCGAGACGGTTGAGGTTTTAGGCAGAAGTGGTGTGATTAGCATTATATTTCAGAAGGATCACTCAGATTACTTTTATGAAAATAGGTTGAAGGTGGCCGGACTAGTGGGGAAGCCTCCGCAGATGAGCAACAGTGGAATTTGATGCAGGTAGAAACAGTGGGGCTGGCCAATAAATGTGCCATCTAAGAGGCAGAATTGCCATCATTGGCTTCTAAGTTTGATATACATGAGAGAGCCTGCAGTGTAGAAAGACACTCACTGAAGCCCATGGAGAGACTGAAGTGATGCAGGAATAACAAAGAGGTTCAGATGCCTAAGGTATTTTAACATTTAAAGATGGACAAAGAAACAGTAGCCACAAAGTTGAGGCAAAGGAGAGGGCAGAGGGTACCCAGAAGAGAGAAGCCTCATGAAGACAAGGGAAGGACATTTTTCATGACGGAGTAGTCAACAATGTCAATGCAGCTGCAACATAAGAAATATGAGCACTGATAAATATCCATGTGTTTGGAAACAACAGTCACCAGGACCCAGAGGAGAGCAGGTTTGATGGACAGATGAGGGCAGAAGTCAGGCTTCTCAAGACTGAGAAATAACTGGGAAGTAAGAACATGGAAACAGAGAACATCACAACTCTCTCTCTCTCTCTCTCTTTTTTTTTGAGAAACTGAGCTGTAAAGGGGCTGAGAGACATGGGCCAGTGTCTAGAAGTGGAATGAGGAAGCATTTGTGTATTTTCATTACTATTATTGCTTGTTTTATGATAGTGGAGACTTGCTTAAATGTCAAAGGGAAAGATCAGCCAAGGAGGAGAGATTGAAGACCAGAGAGGGGATTATTTACTGAGTGAGACCCCAAGTGAGAGGGGTGAGAACCCACAGCAGACGTGGAGAGACAGATTGTCTTTCAACAGTGAGGGACCCCTCTTCCGCATATTAGAACAGAGGGAGAAAATATGAGTTTTTAGGTTTGTTGGATAAAATTAGAGAAAGTTCTTATCTACTGGTTTCTTTTTTTTTTTTTAATATGAAAGTTACATAAGGGAGGATTTTGTAATATCTAAAGTTTGAGAATTATGAAGGAAGCTTGAAACAGAAAGAGGAGAAAGTTCATCAGTAAACAGGATTGTCAGAGAGGTTGAAGTTGGAGATCATGAAATTATGGTACTACCAGTCTGCTCAGTTTTTTTCTATCCATCTCTTTATCTGCCTAAACCTTTGTCCACCAGCAGCCTTCCTAGTTTCTGGAAGAAAGGAAGGCTTGGTTACACCCATTGCACAGTCAGAACAATAGGCCCCGTTGGAAAGGTCCCGCATGACAGCTCCCACCTGCAATTTCCTCTCCTCCCTCTACCTTCCGCTAAGGCAGGAGACGGAAAGCAGGGCACCTGTAAATAAGAGAGATGAAATTAGTCTGTGACAGCTTTTACCAATATCCCTTTATCCAGACTCTTTGTTCATTCATTGATTTGTCCAGCAAAGTTTATTGCACGTCTTCTACTACGTTCCAGCCATTGTAGGACAGGTACTTTGGTAAACCAGACATGGGCCTGCTCTCAAATATGAACTATTCTAGGCTGGAACTGAGTTCTATAGACAGATAATTACAATGTATTCCAAGGGTCATTAAAGAGCACAATGTGCTACTGAGGCACAGAAGAGAGACTAACTGAAATACAACATTTTATAAAATGTTTTGTCACCCCCAGCAGTTTTAACATTTCCTCCAATACTAAGATATCTGTACATAAAACAAGAATTTTTTTTTAAAAGACATTGAGATAAAGTTAACATCTTTTGTGTTTTCTAAGGTATTTAAAGATCACGCAATTGATGGAGAAACTTTGCCATTACTCACCGAGGAGCACCTTCGAAGCACTATGGGATTAAAGCTAGGGCCAGCACTGAGGATCCAGTCGCAGGTATGGTGATTTTTCATAGCCAAATATGAATTAATGAGATGAAGCTTAAGAGAATTATGTTACCGCCCTGGCCGGTTTGGATCAGCGGTTAGAGCGTCGGCCTGCGGTTCGGAGAGACCCGGGTTCGGTTTCCGCTAAGGGCACGTACCTTGGTTGCAGTTTGTCCCCGGCCCTGGTTGGGTCGTGCGGGTGGCAACCACTCGATGTGTCGCTTTCACATCGATGTTTCTCTCTCTCTCTCTCTCCCTCTCACTCTATCTGAACAAAATATCGAAAAATATCCTCGGGTGAGGATAAAAAAAAAAAAAAAGAGAGAACTATGTTACTTTTATCTTGTTGTAATATTTATGATACCTATTTAACTTTTTTATAAGTTTTTTCCCCCTCTGTGGGTGGGGTCATAATAGAAGTGAGGGAACTTGGGAACATTGGATGGGGTAATAACATACATTCCTAGGTATAGTTGGTGTGCTGGTATATGTTTAACAACCAGCTTTCTTTAAAAACAAAATGAACCCAGATCTGTAGCATCTGTCCATTTCTGTAGTGTAAATACTCCCACCGTGGCTGACAGACTCTTAATGCAATGTCACTGGGTACAGAATTGAGAAGAGATGCGTAGCAGCACCCCATTTGAGACTGCCATATGGATGGAATAGGCACAAATAACCTCAGCACTAGAGATCATGATATATGATAATAGGAAGAGAATTAGGTAAAATGTGTTTTAAGTACTTATTACTTTAGTGTTCAATATAATATATTTAATTGTAAATTTATATAATTTAATTTTATTACAGGTTAGATTCAAGATTATAATATAATGTATTTAATTATAAATTTATATAATGTAATTTTTAATAATGGCATATTTAACAACTGGCTTCCAAACCTCCTAAAATTTTAAAAATTGACCCTCCAGCCTGGAACAGGCCAGTGCCAGCACACCACGTCTCACCGTCTCCACTGTGCATTCTGGTCTAAGGCACCACCATCTCTCATTGGATTCCTGCATTAGCTTTCTAACTGTTCTCCCCGCTCTGCCCTCACCCAACCAGAGCTTATTCACAAAACAGTCAAGAGTTATTCTTCTAGTGCAGTGCTGCACAGCTTAACAAGGGGGATACCCCTGAGAAATTCCACATCAGGCAGTTCTCGCCGTGCGAGCACCATACCGTGCACTTACACAAACCGAGATGGTGTAGCCTACCACACACCCAGGCTACATGGCATAGCTTATTGCTCCGAGGCTACCAGCCTGCACAGCATGTTATTGCACAAAACACAAGATTAAATCAAGTACAAGAGAAAATGGTGCAGTCGAGACTCGATAAACATGAGATGTATGAGGATGCTGTCACCATAACATGGGCATACAGTTTTACAGGAAACTTTTTTCTAGAAGTAGAAATAGCACACTCTAAAATAATGCCAATGTTTTGGGTTGGACCTCCGGTCAAGTCACATATAAAACTCAACCAATGAATGCATAAATAACTGTAACAACAAATTGATCTCTCTCTCTCTCTCTCTCTCTCAAATCAATAAATTTAAAAATAATGATAAAAAGTATAGCATAATAAATACATAAACCAGTAACATAGTTGTTTATTATCTTCATCAAGTATTATGTACGATACATAATTGTATGTACTATAATTTTATACAGTTAGCAGGGCAGTAGGTTTATTTACACCAGCATCACCACAAACATGCAAGTAAAGCAACGTTACAATGGCTGTGACATCACTAGGCGATAGGAATTTTTCAGCTCCATTATGATCTATGGGACTACCATTGTATATGTGGTCCATTGTCAACCGAAACCTCTCGTTATACAGTGCGTGACCATAACAACACAGACCATGTAGCTCTTCTGCTCAGAAGTCTGCAATATCTTCCAATTTTCTTCAGAGTAAACGCCAGAATCCTATATTATCTGTACCCCTCCCCACCCTCCTGCACCCTTACCTTCCTCACCTCATCTACTTCTCTCCCCTGCAGTTACTGCTTCTGCCCACTCACTTCTGGATGCTGCTTGAGCATCTAGGCATGCTCCACCTTTCCCTCTGCCTGGGGTGCTCTTCCCCTGACGGCCTCCTGCTTCGCCCCCTCTGCCTTCTCAGTGAGCCTTGCTCTGGCCACGCTATTTAAAATTGCACACAGCCCAGCTCATGCATCCTACTGCTGTCCTTTTTTCTGCTCTTTTTTTTTCTTCTCATAGCACCTATCACCTTCAATGATACAATGTACTTTGTTTATTACATTAATGTTTATTGTTGATTTCCTTCTGCCCCTACTAGAGCAGTTGGAAGACTGATGCAGGAATCCAGTGAGAGCAGAGACCTTCATTTGTTTTGTTGTCTGATATATCTTTAGAATATGCAAGATCCGTAAGAGGTTGAAAATTATTGGCTGAAAGAAATGAGTTTCCTAAAAGTGAATCCAAGAACATCAACAGATTCTTCCCAGAATTTATACAGGGCACCTTTTTATACTGCATGTTTATGCCAGGAGCTGAGATTTCAAAATGTCCTTCAAAAACAATTTTTATCTAACTAAAAATTTTAAGGTAAAGACTTTTTAAAATTATTTATTTATTTATATTTTTTAATCCTCACCAGAGGACATTTTGGCATTTATTTTCAGATAGAGCAGGAAGGAGAGAGGGAGGAAGAGAGAGAGAGAAACACCGATGTGAGAGAGACACAAACATGCAAGTAAAGACACAAACATGCAACTGATTGCCACCTACACAACCCCAACGGGGGCCGGGGACAAACCGCAACTGAGGTACATGCCCTTAGCAGGAACCAAACCCGGGTCTCTGGTCCATGGGCCGACACTCTAACCACTGAGCAAACTGGCCAGGGTGGTAAAGATGTTTTTTATTTATAATGCAAATACTTTAATATTTCTATTGTTATTATTATTATTTTTTTTTATCTTCACCCAAGGACATTTTTCCATTTTTGTTCAGATAGAGTGGGTGGGAGAGAGAGGAAGAGAGAGAGAGAGAGAGAGAGAGAGAGAGAAACATTGATGTGAGAGAGACACATTGAATGGCTGCTTCCTGCACAACCCCAACCGGGGCCGGGGACAAACTGCAACCGAGGTACGTGCCCTTAACGGGAACCGAACCCAGGTCTCTCTGGACCATGGGCCTATGCTTTAACCACTGAGCCAAACCAGCTAGGGTTCTATTGTTATTCTTTTTTAACATCTTTTTAAAAAATAATTTTTGATACAGGAAAGATGCAAAGATAGTACTGAATTCATTTAGCTTTTCCTCATGTTAACATAATGTGACACATTTGTCGAAACTAAGAAATTAACATTGGTACAATGGCACAATGTAGTATTCACTTTTAAATGATTAATTTTTTAGTGAGGATACTATATCTCTTAGCATACTTAAATGACACTACATAGTTTTTACTCTGGCTCTGTTTTATTCCTTTGGTGTTTTTTTTTTTGACCTTACAATGTGGCCAACTTCAAATCATTCTTAATCTTCTCCTCACTTGTGTTGGCATTACCCCCCATATCGTTTTCCTGGGGCTGCGGTCATCTCTTGTGTTCCCATCTAATATGTATAAATGCTTCCATGAAGCCCAGCTGAGCTGTTGATCCATGCTCCATCTGCCAGCATAACAGGACAGGGCTTCCACAGAAAGAGGTGGGATGGGGGGTCAGCTGATGCCAGATGTTCATCCAAACAGAACAGTTGTGGGGTCCCTGCGACTGGGAATTTCCAGGAGTCCAACTGAAGAAGCAGAATTGGAAGATTCTGGGTAACCTCTGGAAGACATAGGAGTTGAACAGGCAAAATGAGGTATCTTTGTGGAAAAGATAACAAAGTCTCAATCTCCAAAATGGGAATCAAAGGCAGCATTCCATTACAGAGAGCCTGCTCAGAGGAAGGAAACCCTTTCTCCTGAACAGAGACATAGAAGGTGGACCTGCACTGAGCATATAAGGAAAGGGGTAGGAGAAAAAAAGTTTTGGGTATTTGAGAACTGAAATATTATTAGAATGGAGGATGCTGGGTTTGAGCTGTAACAATGTGAACAATATAGAAATCTCCTGGGTCCCATTCAGGGTCAGGTTTGCGTAGGAGCCCACTGATTAGTATCAGGGCACCAAGTCCCATACAAGCTCAATTTTTGTTTCAACATTAAGTCAACTGAAGGCCAGCTGTGTGCTGAGATTGCCCAAAGAATTCTAGCCTTTAGCCAGGAGAAGGACCAGCTGGGTGTTGGGGAAGGTAGAGTGCAATGTCAGTGGGACCATTGAAAAGGAGAGGGGGTGAAGTCAGAATGAAGTAACTGTGTGTGCAGGTGAACCGCAGCAGGGCTAGGAATGGTAATTGGAAAGTTGCTACCACCTTGATTTCCAGTTTTACAGTAGTGAACACTGTAGAAATCCGAGAGAAACAAAAAGCCCACTGTGTCCTAGAATCGTGTCCGCCACAACTACATAGATGTCCACGCCCGAAATTACCTCAGCCTCCCTGCCATCTGTGGCTAAGCAGAGTACGCTGGGTTATTGAAAGAATTCACAGACTTAATTACTATAATTATTTTTTCTTCAAAGGTATCTCAGCATGTGGAAAGTATGCTCTACAAGAAAAGTTTTTCACTTCCTGCCCATACAAAACAAGCATTTGATCAACCAGTAGATATACCCACTCCTCTGGATTTTAATTCCTGGGGTGATACACGGGATAGTACCTGTTCCCAGGATATAATTCCTAAAGGAATTGAGCGAGACAGTATGAGAAATTAAAACCATCAAGAAGCAGGAACTGTCTTAGTCAGTTCTCCAGAGTCTCAGATATTCTGAAGGGTGTGTGAAGGTTTCCCAGGACCAATGGAGGCTGCGAGGGGGACAGAGCCAGGCCTCTTGAAGTCCTCTGGAGGACGCCTTGCCCAAGAGGCTTCCAGAAGTGACCTCAGCACAAAGCGGCTGAAGGAGTATCCTTGGCAGCACAAGCTCTATGAAGGAGAGAATGTGCAAACACTAACAGAAGCTACAGGTGGATTTTCCTTAGGAAAAACTCTGAAGAAGCTAAAATAGCTGATACTGAAAAAAAAGAGCTCATTAACCTCCCTCACTCATTCCCATCCCCCAGAAAGAGACAAAGACCACCCCGTGGAGTAAGAAGGAGGCAGAAGAGAAAGTGAAGTACAAAATAGAGAAATAGAACGGCTGACCAAGGCCCCGACTCTTTTTCATTGCAGCCTTCCAGGCTTCAGGGGTCTGCTTTAAGGTAGGAAAGGGCAGACATTTTAACCTTAAAGTTTAGAGTCTGATTACTAGTCAGCATTTTCTTTCTGTCTGACATGAAAATATGTTATGACTAAAAATAGCTGGCAGGCTCTTCATTATCTGACAAGGACATGGAAAGTCATAATACCTCCCTCAGATTTGACCCAAGGGGTGGAGTGGAGTTATCTCTGCGAAGCAGGTTTGAGTTGGCAGGATGGAGGGGAGAAGATTAAAGTGCTTTCTTCATGTACCCTGTGGAGTTCCACTCTTTCAACTTCACATTCAACAGAGAGCCTCTGAAAGGGTACACAAGAGACTGACACAAGTTTGCTCAAGGGCTGGGGTGGGGGAGGACACAAGGGGACTGGGTGACAGGGGTGTGAGAGAGACTTACTACATACCCTCTTATACGTTTTGAATTTCTAACTATGGGAATGTGTTTTCTATTTTTCAAATTTACACTTTAAATAAAGAAACTGTAGTAAGCAGCCTCTAAGACGGCCCCCAATGATCTCTGCTTTCTAGTATTCGTGCCCTTATGTAGTCCCGTCCCCTTTTGAGTGGGCTGGACTCACTGACTCATTTCTAATGAATGGAATATGAAAGGCATAATGGGATGTCACTCTGTGGTTTCTGTCTGGGGTTCTCCCTCTCACTCTCTTAGGAATCCTTGCTCTGGAAGTAGCCTCTAGGCAGCCCTGTAGAGAGGTCCACGTGATTGAACTTGGAAATGGATCTTCTGAGGGCTGCCAACAGCCACAGGAGGGAACTTGAAGGTGGTTTGTCCCTGAGTCAAGCTTGAGATGGCTTAATGCCTCCTGCCCACAGCTTGGATGGCAGGCAGCCCTGAGCCAGAGGAACCCCAGCTGAGCTTCTCCCGGATTCCTGACACACAGACACTGAGAGATAATAAACATGTTGTTTTCAACCACTACGTTTTGGAGTAATTTGTTTCATAGCAATAGATAACGAAAACAAACAAATTGCATCGATGAATACATAGTATGCTATCCACATTCACTCTTTGATTTGGAAGAAAGTGGGCTTTTGCAGAGAGAGGGCTTTTTTCTCTGATTTGCAGAGAGAGGATTTTTGAAGTAATTCTACCACAAATCATTCTAATTTAGTTGAGCTTTTCTTTCTTTTATTATTAATATGAAAACAGCAGGTTTTTTTTCCCCCAACATAAAATTATAATATCAAATATGCATATGATTTGCTAGTTTACTCTCTTTGGAGACACACACACGCACACCACATACAGAGAGAGAGACAGAGAGTCCCTCCAAATTTAAAATTTTTAAGAAGTTTTGTCATATGATCTTTCAACAGCTGTAATTCTCAGTACACAGAAGTTTCACAAGATGCCAAATGTAAGTTAACAGATGTTATAGTGTTGATAAAAAGCAAAGCTTAAGTAATGTTCTAGAGGCAGAGGAATCACATGCTTTAATCCATATGATGGCTTTTGAATTTCTTATTCCTGTAAATGAGTCAATTGAGCTGGTAACTGGTTCACTTGAACAGATGTGTCTCAATGTTGCTCTAAGAAAATATTCTGATATGCCATCCTGGTATGTACTGCCACCAAAAAAAAAGAAAAGAAAAAAGAAGACATGTTGTTTTCAACCACTATGTTTTGGAGTAATTTGTTTCATAGCAATAGATAATGAAAACAAACAAATTGCATCGATGAATACATAGTATACTATCTACATTCACTCTTCAGTTTGGAAGAAAGCGGGCTTAATTTTAGATCCATGCATTAAAGAAAAGAACAAAGGAGGCTCTCCCCAGATTTCAGCATTCTTTTTTATTTTTTTTCTTTATTGATATTAGAGAGAGAGAGAGGAAGGGAGAGGGAGAGAAAGATGGAAACATCGATGAGACAGAACATCGATTGGCTGCCTCCTACATGCCCCCCAAAGGGGATCAGGCCCACAACCTGGACATGTGCTCTGACCGGGAATCAAACCGGCGACCTCTTGGTGCATGGGTCAACGCTCAACCACTGAGCCACATGGGCTAGGCTCTCAGTATTCTTCTTTGGAAGAAAAGGAGACCAAAACTGCTTGTCATGCTAAGATTGCTTTCTTTCCAGATTAATAACTCTAGGGTACCTTTGAACAAAAGAGCCACTTTAGCAACAAAAATTATTTCTGAGAGTGAAAATTTTACTCATTTAGAAGTCGTTTTTAAGTTTTCCACAAATGCTGCTTTGGTTTTGAGTACCCTATGTGAGAATTAAACAGCAACAATAAAAACCTCTCTTGTGTTTGAAAACCAGTCACAATAAAACTGTGTTTGCTAAATAGGGTCCTCTGATTTATGAAATATTCTGTTTAGGCAGATTGAAGAAACATACATATAATGGAACACTATGCAACTGTTTCCTCTATAGAAGTATTAGAGCTATTAGAAAGTAGTAACAGAATTCACCCTGGCTGGTTTGGCTCAGCGGTTAGAGCCTCGGCCTGAGGTCTGGAGAGACCGGGTTCAGTTCCTGCTAAAGGCACCTACCTTGGTTGTAGTTTGTCCCCTGGTTGGTCATGCGGGTGGCAGCCACTCGATGTGTCCCTTTTATGTCGATGTTTCTCTCTCCTTCCCACTCTATCTGAATAAAAAATGGAAAAATGTCCTCGGGTCAGGATAAAAAAAAAAGTATTAACAGAACTCAAATATCACCATTTTGTACCTCTGAAAAATAAAGGATCTAGGCAATGATCATACATGGTTGCTGACATCACCAAAAGAGAAATCAGACATTATATGCCTCCTGATGCAATTCCATGAAACAGTTATGAAAATAGCAAAATCCAAACTGTGAGAAACTGGATAGTACAAATTACCTGATTTTCTTCAACAAATAAATTGCAAGGAAAAACGGAGAGAGGAAAAAGGAAGATCAATAGATTAAAAGATACTAAATAGTCAAATCACCCAGATGTAAAAGTTTTAGAAATAGATAGTGATAATGGCTGCACAACTTTGTAAATGTAGTTAATGCCACTGAATTGTACACTTAAAAATGGTTAAAATCATGAGTTTTATGATAGAAACTACATATATAGATACTATCTATATATGTAGATAAATATTTTACTACAGTAGAAAATTTTAAAGATTCAAATTACCCAATATAGATATTTGGATGCCTATTGAATAAAATAGTTGGAGAAATTTGAACACAATTGGAAATATTCAATGATATTAAATAATTATTGCCTTTTAAAATGTGATAATAGTATTTTTTTATTTTGGTAAGGACTTTAACATGAAATCATCCCTCTTAACAATTAAAAATTTTTTTCTGTATTGATTTTAGAGAGAGAGGAAGGAAGAGGGAGAAAGAGATAGAAACATTGAGGAGAGAGAACATTGACTGTCCTCCTCCTGCATGCCCCTCCACTGGGGATTTGGCCCACATCCTGGGCATATGTCCTGACTGGGAATCGAACTGGCGACCTCTTCGTGCCTGGGTAGATGCTCAACCACTGAGCCACACTGGCTGGGCTCTTAACAATTTTTTAAGTGCACAATAAATATTGTTAGCTATAGGAACAATGTCATACAGTATTTCTCTAGAACTTATTTATCTTATCCAAGTTTTTAAAAGAGAAATGATTTCTTAGAATGTATACTGAAATATGTACAGATAAAATAATATATGCTGAATTTGGGATTTGACATTACCTTACCTACAACCTAATAAATTCACTGCTTATTATTTTATGGAGGTTGGCAGAATACTCAAGACTCTTGGGTCAGAGAAAAAGGACTTTATTACTCATGACACAAAAGCATCATAAACATCAGCATATTTGTGTTGGTTCCCCTTGTTCTCAACTGTCTTGGGGGCATCACAGATGACACATGCAGTAGGTTGCTTCACAGCTGAGGAACACTGAGCTTGGGGAACCCACTAATTTTATAGCAAGCAGTAAACAAGCCTGCTCTTTGTCTAAGAGTGGAGGTGGAGTATGGAGGAGTGAGGAGATATTACCTCATTTCGTAAGGTTATCAGGTACATAATCAACAGAGCTAGAAAAATTGTTACCCAGCTTCCTAGGCACCTTTTTAAAAGCTAATTTCCCAAACACCAAAGGGAAAAACAATGCTGACTCTACCCCTCACTCATGTCGTCCATTCTTGATCAGACAGTACTTTAGCTCATAGGAGACGAGGGAGGTTTTTCTTTATTGTGGTCCAGGTAAAGGAGAAGGTACAACACAAGTTGTGCTTTGGATTTACTCTTTCTAGTCACCCTGCCAGGGAAGACTAACTCCCCTAGGAGAGCAACTGGCAGACGGTCCATCGTTTCCTCGTGGCCCCTCCCCTTTTCCAATCATTCCCTCTTGTTGAAATCATCTCACAGGTCGCCTAAATTAGGTCTCTGAGTTCTTGTTCTACCTTTTCCACATAAGCAAACCCAAAGAGTTTTACCCACTGTGAGAATCTTTCAATTCTCAGAAGTCTCACCCATTCCATTCTATGGAGGGATGTTTCTCCTTGTCCTAGATCCTGCTTGACGGTGGTGTATGTACATCCTTTGTCTGCTCTTGACTCTGAATTCCTTAGGCCACCAACCCAGCCATTCTAAACTCATACTACTTCACTTCCTCAGCACTTCCTGTAACAGCAAGACATCCATTCTTTCTTCCAAATCGTTCGATTCTCCCATAGTGGTCATCTCAACCAGTCTCTCACTCACTGCCCCACGGTCCTGGAAAATCACACAAATGACTCCTGAAAGACTGGTGAAAATATCCCCTTTTTTCCAGGTACAGGCCTCTTCAGGCCCCCCCCCACACACACACACAAAGATGTACAATTGTGCTGTATTTACATGTGAAACTGAAACAGCCTTCTGTGTCTGCAGTCATTTCTGCTTCTTCTCTCTGCCTTATCTGGATCTCTAAATTCTGTTTTAAGCATTTCTAGGTCTTTATTTGTACTGATGTACAGATATTTAATGAATTTAACTGGACACATTATGCAGCATCTATAAAGAAATGTTTAGGCGTATGTGATATATTAGAAGCCTGTTTCTCTTCTAAGGTAGGTTGTGCCACCAACTGCCTTGAATCACAGACTAGAAAAGTCATTCAACTGCTTTCTGACTGCAAAGAATACTGTGGAAACTAGAAATGTCAGTAATTTCTATATGGGCCAGGAAGATAATTTGCTAAACTGTCAACCTGTTGTTTTGCATTTGTCTAACTAATCCAACCAGTTCTGTGAAGGAAGCCCAGTATTTGCTGGAGGTATATCAAACGCAGCAATGTGCTTTGCTTTGATAAAAGAACTCTGCTGCAGTTTTCGTTCACTTAAAAAGCAGAAATGTCAAGTATTTATGAAAAGCATTGGTACGATTTGATTACTAATAGTTGAAAACTATTCCCTGATAATTTCAAGACTTCAATTGCAGACCTCTACTATAGCAACATTTTCTTTTCAGACGTGTATTTAGGTCTCCAGACACTGAATAAATAGAAATAATTTCATTCAAAATAGCAAAAAGAAATTCTGTCCATGTTAGACTGTTGTATTTTGTTTTCTGGGTGTTTTTTTTTTTTTTTTTTTTAATGAAGTAGGTTATAACCAGGTGGTTTGTTTTATGAGATTAATATTGTAGTCTAACAATGGATTTAGAATCCTTTAACACTCAGCTTTCCTAAATTATTATCTTGGCTCTATGTGCTTTGTATTAACACCAATAGTTTGCCACTAAGACCACTCATTTAACTGAGCAAACAAAGATTTACAGCTTAGGAACCAGAAAGAATCAAGCATCTGATTGTGTAGATTGTAAATGAGAGGGATATCAGCAACTCCAAAGGACAAATCTATAAAAGGCAGCATTTTTATTCTTGGTAGGATATGAAAAATGTCTTTATTTCAGGCCTGATGACTGTTCCCATGCGAGAGGCATAA